GTTTTATATATATATATATATATATATATATATATATATAACACGTATGTATGTATAAAAATAATATTATATAATAAATCATGATAAAAGTAATCTGAGAGTAAGAGAAAGTTAACTTTCAGAATCCGAAAAGTTTTACGATAAATTTGCTTGAATTTCTGTCACTATCTTCGGAGTACTTAACATCCTTGGGAAATGTCGCTTCGGTTAAGAAGGACCACGAAAAATTGGAACACGTTGTTATGGCGCTTAAAGCTTTGAACAACGTTATCAAAAATAATCCTGGGATTGAATTACAGTGCATGGGGCACTTTAAATTGTTGTTTGGACTTCTGAATTGTAATAATTTTAAATTAATACAAAAGAGTGCTTTAGAAGTAATTAGTAATGTTACCAAGAATCAGGAATGCGTTGATGATATTGCCGCGAATGAAGTTGTAGTGCATTTGTTGTTATGTTTGCACAGTCTGAAAGAATATCAGCTTCTTGTATTAGAAACTTTGTACGCACTGATGAGTTCGACTAAAATTGTGAAAGATGCATTAGCAAAAGGTTTGTAAGCGATACAATCATGTCAATATAAGAAATATCGACATGAATTTGTAAGATTTGTCTCATATATAGCATACTGACAATGAATTCTTTCAGGAGCTGTTGTGTATATTCTTGATCTTTTTTGTAATTCGAGTAATATTCAGACAAGAGAAGCAGCAGCTGAATTACTCGCGAAAATGTCGTCCGACAAATTAGCTGGACCAAAAGTCAAACTTGATTTATCAAAATTTTTACCAAGATTATTCAGCGAAGCTATTCGCGATGCACCTAAGCAGTGTGTACATATGTTTGAAACGCAGCACGAAAATCCCGAGTTGATATGGGATGATGATGCAAAAGTTAGAGTAGCGAGGATTATCGCAGAATTAAAAGACGAGTAAGCCTTATAAATTGATTTATATTGATTTGTTACGTACCGTTTCTTGTTTCATCTATTTCTTTTCTTTTTTCTTTGACAGTTACGTTGATGTTGAATTAATTATATCTTATCCTTTCAGATATCATGCATTACAGAGACGAAATCCTAATGCCATATTAAAATTACCTGATACTCAAAATAATATTGATATCGCGACAAATGAACCTATCGTAGGAGGGGTGTACCTTAGATTATTTATAGCTAGTCCTGCTTGGGCGCTTAGGAAACCAAAGGAATTCTTAAGTGAGCTGATGGACACGACATTAACGTTAATGTCCAAGGAAAAGACTGATGTAAATATCAAGTTACATAAGAATACATAAAAATATTTATTATATTGCATTTACGCGTATGAGTTTTCGTATTTTGTGTATTTTCGATGTCTTTCTTTCTAGACGGATATGTTAGAATTAACAACGCAGGCTCTTGTGTGTTTACTTCAAGCACAACCTACTTTGGCGGACCAAGTACCATCCTTGGGTCACATACCACGACTCTGTCGACAGATGGCTGTTCAAAACAGTCAGCCATCTGTCTATAAGACAGCTATATTAATTTTGCATCAATTGGCTACTAGTGAAGTGAGTAAATTTTTGCTTGTGTATGACTTGTAATTACATTTTTAATTCATTCGATACTTACATAGATATGTATCTCGTCTATATGTCAAACGGAATGCATAAGTCCACTGAAACATGCAATGCAATCGAGAAGAGACATGATTGCGATAGCATGCGAAACATTGAATAGATTATTTTCGACAAATGAAGATAGACTTGTCAAGCAAGTATGTGTAAAGAGAATCTGTGTAATTCAAGTTTATGGTGTAACCCGTAAAAATATCGATGTATCTGTATTATTGTAGGCATTGGATGCTGAAATGGTACCATATCTCTTGAATATATTGGAAGGACGGTTAGATATTCTCGAAAATCCTGCCACGACTAAAGCACAAATAGTAAAAGCTTTAAAAGCCATGACAAAAAGTTTACTTCTTGGTGAAAAAGTTAATGCCATTTTGGAAAAATCAAGTGTATGGGCGGAATATAAAGATCAGCGGCACGATCTGTTCATTTCTAACAATATTAGTTCTGGTTATCTTACAGGTATAATATATGTGAATTCCTAACGCATATAACCGAATATTTGTTTTTGCCAATTAAATTTTGATTAAAATTTTGATTGTTATTAGCTGGAACACCTGTATCTGCTGGCTATCTGACAGCAGGGCCAAGTACAACTTTAACCACGGGCCCACCACCAGTAGACAAAGAAGATAATTTAATTAATAGAAATGATAGCATCTGATGTAGATAACATTGTAAGTGGTGCAAAAGGCAGTAAGAACATTAATACTGAGAGATTTCTATCGGTAGATAATACCAATAATAGAGACTACATTGTCTGTGATTTTTGGCTTCTTAAAGAAAGAAATTTATTAAATATATTATTTTTGCTGTATAATCTTTATGTTAGAGAATTATAAGACATAATATTTTGTTCTTTGATTACATTTATATATGAGTAATAACATAGTTATAAACTTGTCAGTTTTTAAGACAACACACACACACATACTCTCTCTCTTTCTCTCTCTCTC